CCCGCCGTGCCCCACCGGTGTCCCCCGGCTGGGGCGCGACAGCCGCGCCTCCCGGGAGAACAAAGGCTGCCGAGGGAGCTCGGCGAGCAGCGGGATTTGCCCCGTCTCGCTGCTCCTCCGTCGCCTGTTGAACGGTGCCGCGTATCCCCCGGGGAAGCGCCGGAGGCTCTGCGGGAGTGGGTGCTTTTCCTAAGGCCTGGGGATACGTTCTGTCTCTGGGGGCAGAGGGAAGTGGTGCTATCTGCTGTCGTTTTGTGGGCAAAGAGAGAGTGGTTTGTGTTACGTAACTCTCCGTTATGGTACCAGCTTTGTTGATGCAGAGATCTCAAATCAGTGTTTAAACCCATTGGAAAACGAAGTGATTGTCAACTGGTATGTGTTCGTGCTGGGTATTTCAGAGCGATCCTCTGATTGTATGTTGTTAATAAACAATATTTTAAACAGTCTGATGTTCCCTAATTTATTTGAATGTGCATAAACCAAACAACACTCAAGTTTGTTACTCAGCGTAATTCTTTGAAGTAGCAATTGCGTGTAGTCTGTATATGTTCATTCAAAAAGTGCAGCTAATAAACTCAGACTACGGGATTTTTTGAAAAGAAATGTAATTTTTAGAGAAATCATTATATCTGTGTCCTTAAAGATGTGGTGTCATACAAAGTTCTGCTAAGGGTCTCTGGGATTTTACTATTCTGCAATTACCATTCTGTTAATTGAAGCCTGGTTTCACCTCCCACCCCATTTGATAATAGGTTTGTCCTAATTGTACTGTCAAAATTAAGATAGATGAAATGGGGAGTATTTTATATTAAAAATAAAGACCTTCCCTTTTGCCCCTCTCCTGTCTGGAACATTTCCCTTGACAAAATAGAGAAAACCCGAATCAAAACAAAGAAGCAACCAAAAAACTCAGATGTGCTTTTAAGAAGACAAAGAAGTAGGCTGCTTGCTTCATGGGTATGATCAATCTGATGGAGTATGTGCAGTGAAATTACAGATTGCATTGGAAAGCTTTATGTCTGTAAAATGTCTTCATCTGTAGCATTTAAGTATGTGTTTAACGTCCTGTACATAAATTGTCTCATGAAGTTTGGTAGAATTGCTTGCATGGGTGAAATTGAGCAGATTCAGAAATAACTCCTGAACCTTAATTTGAAAAGGTCATGACCAGAAAGTAACTGTTTAGACTTTATTATTTAAATTACTTGTAGCTACTTTAATGCTTCATAAGAAAAATGCTTGAAGGAACAACATTCTGTTGAAGACTAGGCATGCATTGTTTTCCAAATTCCTTTACCCCCACATGCAATCCCATAATACAAGGAGTACTGACCTTTATTCTTCTTATAAAACTCTAAAGTTTTTTATGTATTTATTATGCTTCCTTCTATATGAAAAGCAGGGACAAACATTTCTAGGATTATAGACTAGCTACCCTCAAAGCTTTTATATTTTTATGTATGTTCCTTTTTTTTCTTCCCTATTTTTTTTTCATCTGCAGCTACCTTCTGGCTTTGTTTTAACGTTGAGTGTAATTATGTTTTGTAGTGGTTTTTTTTTTTTTTTTTTTTTTTTTTTGTTGTGGTTTTTTTTTTTGTTTTTTCCCCAGGCATAATCTGTAGAATAGCTTTGTGTAAACAAGCAAACAAAAATGCTGTACCCTTCCCCCCAACCTGTGTGTCAGCAGCGTTTGGATGATAAATCCTTGTGGTTTATATGAGGGTGTTTATAGCAGTGACTGCTCTCCTAGGAAAGCCCCACTGTGTTTGCTGGCTCTCCTCTCACTGCTTATTTGGATTTATTTACATGTACCAATATCTGCAGTAGCCCTGAAAATGTGGTAAAGGTGCTGATGTCCTGGGCAGGTTATCTGGCTTTACTCAAACATTCGCTGTAAATATCTAAAATGCAGTGTTTATGCAGTTTAGGAGCAGATTTATAGATTTTTCTTGTTTTGGAACAGCTTTGTTACTGATGCTGCAAGTTTTTATCCAGTCTTCAGGGGAACTGAACAGTTTTATTGTCATTGAATAAACCAGAGAGTGTGTCCTTTGGGAGTCAAGCATAGGAAAGTCCATTCCTGTTCTGGCCTGTGTAAATTGATGTTACAGCAGTCCTAGTGTGGTAAATCTTCCTTTGACTTCCAGCTCGCTTTAGGATGCTGACCCATCCAAAAGACCTTTCTTGCTGGGTGTGTTACCTGTGTTGCTGTATTATCTTGTCCTGGGATTACTTTTCTGCTAATTTTTCCAGCAGTGTTGGCTCACCAGGATGTCAGATGGATGCCAGTATTGGCATAGAGGAGGGTCAGGAAGACAGATCAATGCACCCTGAATTTGTATCAGCTTAAGTGGTCCTAGAGCCTTGGGCACAAAGATGTTAGTGAGGTAGCTTTGCCTCCTACGTGCTCCAAGGAAACTAATGGGAGCCCTTGGATAATTTGCCTAACAGGCAGTTTATTCATGCTTGGCAAGATGCACAGAGGCTCTGCCTGAGCGGAGAATGAGCTTTGCTGTTGACAAGTGTCGGTAGAATCGCAGGCACTTAGGAGTTGAGAAGTCTTTGTGTTGTCAAGGATGACCTGATTCACCCAGCTTTCTCTGTGTTTCAGGTACACTGCTCTGTATTCCCACTTAAGTTGCTCAGTCTGTGTCTCTCACTATAAAGCTAAGCTTAGATGGATCATAGTTTTCATGGCTGTTGTGTATTTTAAGGACTTGTTCTGAGCCACTGCTCAGAACTGCAGCAGCCATAGCTGCTGTCAGAAATGCATGTTAAGTGTCCTGACAGAGCTGGAGAAACCAGATTTAGAAATCCCCCAGCTTTACTAAACCCCATTTTTCTAGTTCTAACAGTGAAAGCATGAAGGATTTCAGTGATACACAGAGTAAAGCAATCAAGCTTGGTGTATCTTGCTTTCAGCTGAACCTTGGTTGACGTAGATAACCACATTTTCCCCCAGCATATCAGCACATTATAAAGCTGTTACATAACAGGCTACAAAAGACACTTAGAGAAGTCTCTGAAAGGAGCAAAGGTGCTCCCAAACATAGACATTCTGGGTTAACAGCTCAGAGAAATCCTAGGACGCCTTACTGCTTATGCATTTTATTTTTTCATGGATTTTGAAGTGTGTTTGATGTGCTTCACCAAAAAATTCTCATTTAGTATGTCTGAATAATGGAATGTGGATGGGATTTATGAAGAACACAGATGTTTGCAAGGATCATAGAAGGGCATGAGAAAATGCCTTTTTTGTTTTGTTTGTTTTTGGTTTTGCTGGTATAAGCCCCAATCATAAATCTATCCCTAGAATTTGCATATAGTGATACTTGGAAAAGGTAAAAGAGAGAACATGGTGTCTTTCTTAGCTCAGCAGCTGAAGGGTAAGGATAAGGAACAGAGGATCTGGATTTGATGAATTATCCCAAACACCTGTAGCAGCTTTCCTGTAGCATGCTGTTGGTTGCCCAGAAGTTAAAGCAGAAAACCTGTGAGGTGGAGCAAGATGTTTTCTGTGAGGTTTGGTCACTCTAAGAAGACAGAGGAATGATTTGTTCATGATTTTGTGTGCAGTTGCAATGTGTAGGACAGAAGGTATGCAACAGTATAGCAGTTTTATTTGGCTGTTGTCACAACTGATAAATGCTGGTATAACATGTGTAGGCTCTGTTGTGGTTGTTTCTGTTCTGATTTTTATCAACTCCTCTTCAGGGAAGCCTTTATTGTGTAACATAGCTTCGTATCTCAGAGGATTTGAAACAAGACAAGTGATTGTTGATGGAGTGGGAGAAGATTCTAAGTGGGGTTGTCGGATTCTTTTATTATTTTTTTTTTCCTGTGAGCAGATTTTGTCTGTGAAGAGTATAATATCATGAGGATTTTCTAGTGTATTTGCTGTATATTTGTAGTTGGTCATTTCACTGAGCTAGTGTGTATATAAGGAGTGGATGATTGCTTGATGCCATGGCATGCAATCTCTGCAAAACAGAAAATACAGAAAAATAAGGGAATAAAACTGTTACTTCAGTGGCTTTCTTATCTGTGCTGTGGCTTAATTTGATTCAAATGCAGTCCAGGAAAATCTCAAGGGGATTAAAAAAACCAATGAAACCAAAGTCCTTCTTATTGTGGGAGGAGAATTGTAGCTGTAGCAGAAGGAAGCATCAAGTGTTGCAGTGGAACTGGGGCAGAATTCAGAAGTGTGCCTGTGCATTGCTAGGAGATGGCTGTGGCTGGGAAGGGCATGGCAGCCCAAAAGCTTTGTAAACAAATTAATTGCTGCAGTAGATGAAATTATCTCTTTCTCCAAACCTCGTGCTTTATTTTTCCAATACAACAGATTCTGCCATACTATGCTGAAATGGAATGAGGAAAAAAATACTTCTATTGCATGTGGTTTTGTTTGTTTTGATTGTGGTGGTGTTTGTTGGTTGGGTTTTTTTGGTTTTTTTTTTTTGGTGAGATAAAACTCTCTTGAAAGTCTCCTTGGAGGACCCCCAGTATTTTTTGGCAGCTTGTATACATAAAAGTTATTCAAGCAGTTTCTTCTAGTACATAATGTTGACTAAAAAAATATTTTGATTTTGGTTTGTGGATTTATCATTTAGGAGAAATCTTAAAATCAGTAGAGATCATGTAAATCTTCTTTCCCTCAGATGTCTGTAATGAATATTGCTAAAGAACTTGGATTTCAGACTCTTTACTCAGTCTTGCCATTATAAAAACAACAACAATAAAAATACCTCTTTTTTCAGCCCTTCATTTTAAACTAAAGTATTTGTGGAGGTTGTTTTTTTTCTCTGTAAGCTATCTTCATTTGTTCTGAAACACGAGGACACAGATTATGTTGAGGGAAGTAGCATTTCCTATCTTTGTGACTCAATTGCAGTCAAGGAACTCTCTCTCTCCTGTTCTGCCCTGGATTAACTTTGTGGATTATCTGACAAAAATACACTTTTCCTGCAGCCTGTTCATGGAAAACAGTTTGTTACGCAAGGCTGAATACTGTGTAAGCCCTGGCCTTCTATAACCACAATCATATTTTTCAGTGGAGGGATAATGAGACTGACATTTAACTTCTCTAATGTCCCAAACATAACAGTCTTGTCTTATAACAGTGAGGCAGAGAATTATACTGCTGTGGTAGTTCTCTAACATGAATTTAAAGTACCAACTACCTCCCCAATTACTGGTACTCACAAAGGAAAACCACAGTCACTGTGGAATCATTTGTAAAATGTATAACAGCAGATTCACAGTTCAGCCTTGATAACTGTCAGTGAAAGTTGTATTCTGCAAATACATACTGGTGAGTAGGAGGTTTTCCTTTGGTTCATCTCTTCTCTTACTCCTCTTTGCAGTAGCATGAGACTTTTAGGCTCCTTGCTTATATAGTGAAAAAAATTATTTCTAACAATAGCATTATCAGTATTGATGAGATTAATTTTCTTTTGCTTGGTGTTTTGGGAATTGTCTTCCATTTTTATGTGTTTGTTGAAATAAATTACTCCTGTGGTGTCAGTGGTATGTTCTGAAGTCAAGGACAATCCAATTAGTGTTGATTGGGATTTGGCAGCTAAATCCCTGCTCATTGAGCCAAGAACATGCTGGTTATTGCTTATCTGCTAGTGACTAGATAGATCATGATTTTATGTCTCTAATGTTTGCAGTTCTCAGTTTTCAATCTTCTGCATATTGAATACTATGAAAAAATGCAATCATTGAACAGAGCTTGAATTCTTTGTTTCCTCTCTGGTAATGTTGTGCTCAAGGTGTCAGAGTAACCACAAAATTTCCACCGAGCTGGACACAGGTGATTCTGTCACTCCTGCAGCCAGAACCAGCACTTGGTTCTGTCTGGGGTTGTGTGTAGCTGTTGTGGAGGAAAGCAGAGACAGAAAAAAACAAACTCATCATAATTTTGGATACAAAGTCAGGATAGTTGCATGCAAAACCCCATTGGACCATGGGAGACCTCAGTGGATAAAAAGAGACAAAGGAATGTTAGTGGGCTTATAAAATCAGTCACACAGAAAGAAATTCAATGGGAATAAAACAGAAGGTAGGAATAATGTCCTTATCATGTCCTTTTACTGTGGTTCATATGTTGTTTCCTAGGATTGAAAACCCCAGAAAATCCATTATGTGATACTTGGATCTATCTTCAGCTAGATAGAAGATGTCTTTTTTAAATGTTAGAGTGTTGGGTTGGGTCTGCTAGAATAGCAACTGGAAGGAAGATGAGACATTCTAGCAGAGGATTTCTCAGATACTTGTGGATGAAAACAGATGGCAGTTCTTTCTGGAACCTTGACTTCAGTTGTGGAAGGTTGTGCATTTGGAAGATGGGTTTTGTTGAGCTCCTTTTGCCAGCTGCTGTAGACAGTGATGCCAGGAGTTCAGAGTTTTGTCAGACTCTGTAGTGGGCTGCACCTCCTACTTTCTCCTTCCTTCTCTTGCTCTCAGTATCCATTCAGTTCTTTTTATATACTTTGTGGCTTTCTGACATGAGTCCTCTTGGCCACTCAGTCTGATCTCTTACAGTTTTCATCTTTAAATAAACAAATTTCAATTCATCACACAAGCACCAGGGCCAGGTTTTGTCCCTTCTGTAAATTTTAGCCCTAAAAGTTTGTTTGGTAGAATTTTAGGCCAAAAAAAAATCTTTCTCTCCCCAGTCTTATTTCTCGGAAGCAGAAAAAATATTTGGTGTGAAGTTTTTACTGAAATAATTGAGCTGGAAACAGATGTCAACCATTGAGACTTCATATTGTATGTTTAGTTGGTTTAAGTAAAAAATAATTGAAAATAGTTATAGAACAAGGTAGAGCACCATTAGTGATGCCTATAGCCATTAGTTATTTGTGTATCTAAAAGACATGGCACTCTCATTTCTTAGTTTGTTACAACTGCACCAATTAAAGCCCAACAAACCATTTAGCTTGACCATTGTGTTGCTGAAGTCTTCCACAGTTTAAATTTGTACATTTAACATGTGTATTTTTGTTTTGGACAAAGAAATGCAAACGCTCGTCCTTTTTTGTGACTATTGTTCTCTGAACTGTAAATCTAATTCCTAAATGGCAGTAAGAATAAGCTGTATGTGTGACTAACAAAATACTCAAGACTTGAAAGACAAAGTTGTGATCTTGTAATAAATTCAACTGTAATGGAATTTTAATTCTTGAAATATTGTTGAATGGGCATACTGTACTTCTTAAGAAAGGTTAAATTAGGAAAGCTGTGTTTTTTAATTCTATTACACAGACTGCTTTTCATAAACATGCAAATTACAATTGCATAAAAATAGAAGAAAGCCACATGCTTTGTTCCTGCAGAGCTGTTTCTTCATAATTAATCTATTTTCCCAGAAAAACACATAGTAGTTTTATGAAGCTTGTGTGATGACTGGGCTGTTACTGGTCTATATTGTTGGTATATGCTATTTTTAAACTAGGTTTAATACAAAACATTCTAGTAGAACTTAGAAGAGGATTTCCATTTTCTTTCTCCTTGTTTTATAGTGAAGAGAGAAGTAGTAGATTAGATATTAAGAATATAGATTTTTTTTTAAGAAAAGTTTCAGAGAAAAATTGGTGATAAAACCAATTGTAAAAGCCTTCCTAAAACCCGGATTTAAACCCACATTTCCCCCCATATTTTTTTGGGGGTAATTTAATCTATTTAGAGACGCCTTCTTTTAGGCTGCAAGTTCTTAGAAACTTCAGTCTGTGAGATTTTTTTTTTTCCTTCAGTGTATTTTGTTCAGTGGGCTGCCAGGCAGAATTTGCTTTTTGTGAAGTATCTTCGCCTGGGGCCTCTGCCTGAGCCATAGGTTGTGCCCGACTGCAGCTGAGGAACAAGTTGGAATTTCCTGTTAAGGGAGGGAAGAGCTGCTGCCTGAGCATTCATTGCCTTTGGGATTCACCCCACATTTCTTAGAAGTGCAATTATTGAATTATTCTTACTTTATGCCTTTCAGGAGCTGCTTGCTTTTGCAAAATGGGAAGCTAATTAGCGTGTGTTTCTCATGATCAGTAAGTTTCAGCAGTGGTAGAAGGCCCAAGGTTTGGAATGGATGCTTTTAGTGGTATTTCCAAAACAAATAAGATAACAAGGCATACACACAAAATAAAAGGATGTTTTCTGTGGTAATAAATATTCAGTTTTTATTTGGAAATCTATGCAAGCATTCAAAGTGTTGCAGAGGAATGTTTCTATGGGTATTTTATAGCGACTAAAACTGAAATGCTTATTTGCAGTGATAAATTCTGGTCCACTTTGCTGAGGTGAGTTAAGATAATGCCTGTGAAGGTCTCAGATTTGCCCTTTAGCTGGAGGCAGCTGTCCCTGCAGCGATTTCAGATGCTGGTGCCAGTTCTGTGCTACTCCCACTCACAAGGTTTTGACTCAAGCTACCTGTAAGTACGCTGGAAGCTGGGGCACCTGGGTTTGTGCTGACACCGAGTGTTCCCTTTCCCAGCTCTGAGAAGTTCATTTTTTCCAGCAGGGAAGCAGCAGAGAGAGCTGGAACATCCCAAAACCCCTCAGTAGGTTGTCCTCAGGCTGCAGCTGTGGTGGCACTGCAGTTCAGC